TGGCATATAAAGTGACATGGCATTTGTTTTTAAAAGGAGTTAAATGTATGAATATGACCATTCAGAGTGTTGCCTAGAAAGCAAATGTTTGCTAGAGTCTTGTTTTGCTCACTGATATGCATAAATTGTAAAAGAGGATACATAAGCAGATTAGTTGAGGGCAAACAATACATAAAACGTCAATTGTCCATATCCTCAAGAACTATCTGTAAATGCCATGGAGTCTAATGCATAGTTACATCTTTTAATGCATTATAAGTGTGCCTTACATCTTCATTTTATTGTAACAGCGTGCAAATTCAGAGTGTAGGCATTACGTTTTGAACTGATGTTTCAGTGTTTTATCAAAATAATGGCATTATATGGGCATAATGAAGGATGCCAATATTCTCTCTGACTTACAGGCAACCTGTTTCATTTGCATATCTATCATTCACAGTCTGAACCCCGAGATCTTCTCATTGTTTTTCCTCATCAATTTATCTGTGAAGAGTATGTATAAAGATGCTTTGTCTTTCTGTAGCTATTGTGAATATCTCATTATTCATTAAATACATATTAACAAGGAATAGGGGTATTAACAAATGTTTGAGCTTAGTTTCACCCATTTGATGAGATCATGATAACGAGCCATACTGTTTGTTACGAAGCACGTCCTTTCTAAGGTTACAATGAAATCTCCTTTGTTTGCCTTTTGTTAGTGTATGGGGAAGAACACAGTCACTGGAAAATGAAAAAATATTTTCATGATTTCGGAATGCACTTTTCTTGAAATGCTCTTTGTGCTTTTAGTTAGAAAGTGACAGTGATAGCGCTCTCATGCATTACCTGTCTTAGTTTAAAAATATGCTTCCCTTCTATGTGTGTTTACCATTGTTTCATGTGATGACGTTTCATGTTTTACTGGTTGCAGCTGAAGCTTCAGCTGAACCTCATCCCCACTGCATAATAGTATGTCATCTCAAAGATGTAAATGCTAGCATTATAATGGGGGGAAAAAGTATTAAATTTATAGAGACAAAACAATTGAATGATCAACCTCTTTATGAGCCACCTTCAGTGGGTAATTTTATCATGCTTTCTACAAGAGGATCAGGATTGTTGCAATAGAATCATTGCATTGGAAATAGTCTTTAAAGGCTCATACAGTCGATCCTTCTGTGAGCTGGCAAGGGATTTGGCAATTCCTGAATCATCCAAAGACAATTATCAAACCTAACATGGCTATCTCTTCTCCCTTTTTCCTTCACCTTAAACCTATCTAGCTATCTTTACCTCTCCTCTGAGGTTTTATTTTCCAAACCATTTACTCCTTATTGTTATTCAGCTTTAAACTGTCTCCACTTTATCTGTGTCTTTTCTGACATGTGGTACTCAGAACCGAAAGAAGCACTTTCTAGCACTGTAAGCTCGTGTCGTTTTATTGTTGCCAAACCATTTACAGCCTGATTTTGATACTTTTCCCCATCTTTCAGTGATTGCATGGCTTTGCCAGTGCGTGAAAGTGACTGTGCTGCTAGCCAGAGATATGTACCTAAAAACCTTAAGCTGTGCTTCTGACAGTTTTAATAAGCAGGCTACTTTCTGGTCTTGGTTAAGGTGAACCACATGATAAGCTAGAAAGGCCATACAGCACTGACAGGTATTAGCTTCCCAGCTGGCACGATGCTGAATGCAGTTCTACACGCTATGTTTGACTGGTTTTGGGTAACGCCTCACGTAGCCAGTGGAGAAAATAATTCAATTTCAATCATATGAGGAACCTTTACATAGCTTTTTTTTATATATATAAACACAGAAGGATATAAAAAGATTCATTGATCAGGCCAACAAAAGTAAGCAAAATGAGTTTATATTATTATACTAGCAAATTGGGAGGGAGGCAGAGGGGAAGCAAAAATTAGCAAAAAATTGATTTAATTGTTACTTGACATGCCTTTTTTTTTTTTTTCCTTTGCGCCATTGGTAACCTTTGGTCAGATGTTAGACTGTTTTTGAGTTAACTGGGTTCTTCTCTACAGCGTGTAGCATTTACCAGTCTGATGATCAAGATTCCTAGAGCTTTCCTGTATCTTAGTATAAGTCAACTTTGAGGCAAAGGCTTTCTTTCACACAGCACAGTTGTTACAAAAGAGCAGTACTCATAGGAATGCAACCAAGTATAAGAATTGGTCTCATTGTTTACCTTCAATATTGATGGGCTACATCTGAACTTGGGTAGTCCTTCTGCATATGTTTAGGAGCATGTGTGTACATCAGACTAAGTCCTTTGTAATTATTAGATGTTTCTTCAGTTCAAATCATAACTTGGAGCAAGGCTTGTTACAGAGTGAATTACTTTATGTGCAGCTTTGTTTCTTGTGCTTTTGTAATGTCTAGTTATGTGTAGTAGTAATATTATTGAAGGTCATATCACAATTTCACAGCGGAAGTAGTGCAGTCTTTCATTCACAGAATATTCTCGATTTCTTTCTGCTACTTTAAACACAAAAGATGACATAGCATAGTCTGATTTACTGACACTTCTTTATATTCCACGTGTTTTTGAAGCATAAAAATGTAGTATTCTGCTGCCTGTTTGTGATTCGAAAAACAAGGTAAATTATTTCCTCTAAATTCACCTACAGTATGATTACGTTTAGCCACAAGCCTGACAAACATACCAGTACGGTACTGTCTCACTAAAACAAATTGTCTAATGGTAGCAGAAGACAGGTCCTGTGTCAGACAGGGAGACTGAGACAGCTCTGCTTCTGAATCTGAGATTCAGAAGGATCGGATTGCTTATTCACTAACCAGTCTTTCTTATATTAAAAATCAAACACGTAAAACCTTACAATCGTAACATTTTTTCCCGTGACTCCTGCTTGCTGGTGATAGTTTCCACTTTCAGATCTGTTGCCTGTGCCCCACACAGGCAGTTTTTCCTCGAGCAAGATGGATATACTAGGGGAGAAATGCTGCTGGGTGGCTGGCTGAGATGCTGAATCACACTGACCAGCTGCAAGAGACAACAAACATTAACACTTTTTTTCCTCCCCACTCAATTATGTCAAGTGGTAACATACTGAGACAGAGACACCAAATGTTTTACTGTACTCCAGCAGTTATAGGCATCAAAATTATCAGATTGGCATGAACCACAGGACATTGGTTTAGCAGTATAACATTGAAGGGAACAAGAATGCATATATGTTAGCTAAATGTGTATATGTAAATTGAATTAATACTTCCTGGCAGCAGAAAGGCAGCTCTCAAGATTGAAACATATGTTGTGCTAACTGTTGTGCAGTATAAGAAAAGATGCAATCTATTCACAGACCACTACATCAGACAACAGCCAAAGAAATATATATGTATTAGGTGTGCATAACACAAACATGTACCGGTATTATTATTTCTTTACAAACATACAAACAGGCACAAATATTGTACCTGATGCCCTATGCCAACAATCAGCGGGCTCATCAGGTGCCCCAGCGTAATCAGCAGCATACAACAGGAAAGGCAGCACAGGGGACTTGACCCCTGTCATGTATGGAAACATTTCACACCCTCTGCTGCACCTTTATCTAATTGCAGGCTAAGTTAACTTCAAGACCTTGAAGCCCTTCCAAGTCACTGCATCCAGTACTGCATTACTGCAGGAAACATACCATAATCTCTTTCACCAGGTGATAAACTACATCTCCAAAGCATCAGTGTTTTTGCTACAAATTGGAAGAGTGTTTGAGAACCTCAGTGCCCTAATGGCTAGATACCATCTCCTAATTTCCAGTTGAAATTTCTCCATGGCCAGTTAACACCCATTTGTTCTTGTGCCAGTGTTGTCCATTAGTGCGGATATTCACTTAGGATGGCAGAAGGCTATCTCCTTGATGTATTTATAGCCCAGTGGTATCCCCTCTCTTCAGTTTCCTAGACTAAACAAGCCAAATTATCCTAGTCTTCACTTTTTAAATAGGCTCTCTACTTCTCTGATCATCCTAATAATCTTTCCTACGTTCATCCTGGGCTCATAATCTGAGAGTTGAGCAATCAGACTTACACAAGCTTTCTACACAAAGCATAGCTGTGCCTTCTGCAATGATATTGATACATTTCTGATTTCTCCGCCTTTCTGTATAAATCCAAGCATTACTTGTGATTAAAGACTAAAAGGCACTAGCATTCTATGTTCAATTAAGGTTTTTTTAAAAAGCAGCTGTCATGCCAGCTGCATTTCAGGTGACTGCAGTAAGCATGCTTTCTATTCAGTACACATTTCAGAATTTTCTTTATCTTTTCTGGCCCAATTGTTTTTCATCTCCGAATATAAAAATGGGTTAGTGCTTACCTGAGAAGTACAGTAGAAGTAGCTCTTAACTAACACTTCCCTGCCTTCCTTTTCTTCTCTTTTAATTGTTTTAGGAGGTGCTGGCCAAAATTGTCAAACTAGACATTTCTTTGGTCTTGAAATAAAACAGTCTGGTTCCCAAGGTGACTACCCATTACAGTACTTCGAGTTCAGTAGTAGTTTTGAATACTCACCATTTATGTCAGAACAAAGCTTCTATTTTACTTAGAGTTGTAGATTTAAGCATGATGAAGTTTGACAATTTTGTCCACTGTATTTAATATTTTCCATATGAGGAAGTTTTTCCCGGGTCTTAATTTATACTTGTCTCAAATGTGCAAAAAGATGTGCATTTCTATCAGCGGAAACTGAGCCTCTAGTAACCCTGAAAGGTTTACAACTGCAAATGCTTCAGTTCCATCAGGTCTGCCAACAACAGCCAACCTTCGACATCATGCCATGGTTGTCGGGTCACGCTAATCTGCCTGAAACAAACTTCACTTTCATTGCAGATAAACATCTGCTGTTGTCCATGTTACATCGATTAACATGTATGCGCCATTCATTCGTACTTCTATTCATGGTTCATTTTTACTAAGCATGTAATGTGCTATTACTCTGCTGCTGTATACATTTTGTATACATTTCTGTTCTTCCTTGAAAGACTGTGAATGCTTCGGGCACTCCAACCGGTGCAGTTACATCGAGCTGCTCAATACGGTCATTTGCGTGAGCTGTAAGCACAACACTAGAGGTCAGCACTGTGAGTTATGCAGGCTGGGCTACTTCAGAAATGCTTCTGCAGAGCTGGACGATGAAAATGTGTGCATAGGTCAGTCCCGGGATAACTGCGGCTTTTCTTCTGTGCGTTTTCAGCTACTGGCAGGTGCTAGGGACCACTGCTGCTTACTTGCCAGTTGAGGCAGAATGAGCTTTTTCAATGGATAAGAACATCTGTGTAGACTTCTCACCTCATTTCTGTTGCCCCTGTCGCCCCAAGGAGGTATTTTGACTCTGTGTATGATGATGAACCTCCCTGGCTAAGGGTCCTGGGAAGGCTTTCCCCGAACCCCCCGGGAAGCCGATTGTGCTGTCCGTCCACAGGAGGAGCTGCACACGAGAAAACTGAAGGGTTGAGTCATAAATACCTGTTCCTAGTCTAACTTTTGGAATTATTAGTACAGAGTCTTGAACGCTTGCCTGAACCTACAAAAGTTGCCAGCTGCAGCAATAGGACGTGGGGAGTGGTGTTTATTGACCCCTTTTATTCACTTAAATTTCATAAAAACGTGTTGCAGCTAATTCTGCTCCCAGGCACGGGGCTGTAAATGCGGTGTTACCTCCCCTCTCCTTAGAGGAGAAACTGAAATTATGCCCATGTGGTTAGGAGCAGAATTTGTCAAATCAGTTTGACATGATGTCAATTTAGAAAAGGGATTCCTAGATGAAAACAGTGCTTTAGACCTAGTGTCTGCTATAAATATCCAAAATGCAGAGTTAAAGAAAATGTCAGAACATAGTAAGAAAAGCATGTTAGGAAAAAAAAAAACAAACACAAGATCTTTATCACACTAGAAGAATATGCACTGTTCTCATGTCACCACAGACAGAGTATAACAAAAGTTAGGATGCTCTAGGTGGCGATTGAACGTAGTCAATAAAGGAAACCTCATACAATGGCCAGTAGTTAACAGGTAGCCACAAAAGACACTGCTCTAATAACAAACAGAGGTGGAGAATTTCATTATATAATGTTTCTTATAGACATAAGCATCAGTAGAACCTCTTCTGGATTTTCATTGAGACTTTTTTTCTTTCCATTTTCCAGGAAACAAAAAGAAAGACTAGTTATATTTTCATGCCAAAATAGACTATGGGTGAATAAATTATGTTTTAGCATTCTTTATAATCCATTGCTGAGATTCAAGCCAGAAACTATTTAGGTTGCTATTATTTGTTTCAGTCCGCAGCTTGACAGATTTACATTTTATTTCGTGATAAACACCCAGATCCATCCACGCTCTGCATTTCACGTGCCCTTCTTTTAACTTTGCTTGGCAATACATTCAGAAGCTGCATGATCTCCTCTGACATTAATTAGTCTCAGCTAATAAGAACTTCATAGGCAAAGTCATGATTTTGTATGACTATGCTGAGGAGATTAACCCAATCAAATGTTCTTGGAAAAAACCCACTGTCCCTCATATTTGTTTGATGTAGATGACGGACATCATCGGTATGACATCAGGGCTGTATAATTTCAGCTGCCTAAATAGGCCTAATGAATATGACAGTAAATTACTCTATTTGGGATTTTTCATCAGCTCATTCAGTAAGTTGTTTTCCCATATACACTGAAATGCTAAGACAGCAGCTGTAGGTACATAAGACAAGGAAGTTAATAAACCAGGAGTCAAAAATAAGTAAATTTTAAATTAATTTGCAAATGATGTATTTAGAATGTCTTGGTAAAACAACTGTGCACTTTGAAATTGCCCAGACTCTGCAGAAATAAAATTTTAAAACCTTTCATTTAACAAGAGTCTTAAAAAAAAAAAACAAAAACAAAAAAACAAAAAAAAAACCACAAACAAACAAACAAAAAATAGGCAATGTGATACATTTGCTGACTTTCCCATCTTAATGCAGGCAGAATTCTCTTGGGCTCCCACGAGAATTGTACCATGTGAGATGACTATAGGATCAAACCCTGCTTTGCTACATATTAGGTAATTTGTTTCAAATAAATAATATTCTTGTTGGACTAAGACAGTTTTCAGGATCATAGTGATGATACTGCATATAAAATATACCTATCCTAGCTGATTTGCCAACTTAAGAAAAGTTTCATCCCACTTCTTGTTTAAAGTCAGCAAAGTGAAGCAGATACCTAAGCACTTTTTAGAAAACAGAGAAGTTTGTTCTTAAAGTGCGTTCCAGAACTGGGGCTCCTAAGATTTAATCGGGCAAAATGTAGAGTATTTTCACCTCTGAGAGAGCTGATGGATTCACCATCCTCCTAGGTCAAGCACAAAGAGTCTTGCTCTATTGGAAACGCTCATTTCTCTTTTCTCTGAGTCTAAAAGCAGTGTTTCGGGTTTCAAGTACAAGTGAAATGTTGGCATGAACATTTTAATAAGCAGATTTCCAGTGACATGTGCAAGTCTTATTCCCGCATGAAAGTAATTTTTCCAGGCTAATTCTTTCCTCTTCAGCCATATATATAGAAAAGTAAAAAATGTTTGGATAAGCTAGTTTAATGGCAGATAAGAGGGTTTTGGCTCTGATTTATCAAAACTACTTATATAGTTTTCATAAATATATATGGTAAGTACATGGATAACAAATCTGTGAATCTTAGGCAATGCTCATTAAATGGAGAAAATGTAAAATGTTTCATTTTTAAAACTGGCAAGTTACAAAGAATGGAAATACTGAGAAAGTTTTTACCAGTGAACCAAATGCAACACATTATACAGTGGGCTTAAATCTAATTTCATTATGCCCTTAATTTCTTCAGAAGCAAAATAAATTTTATTTCCTAAAATGAAATATAAAATATTTGTGGATTTGTCAGTTAACTGCAAGGTGACCTGATATGGGCAACTACAGTTTCTAAATAAATCAAGGTATTTTAAAGTTAAAAATCATTCACTTGACATGCTTACAGTGAAAAAGAATTTAACAACTTGAAAAGCTTTTTATTTCTATAAAGTCTTGATAAAGTCCTAATAACTATTCCAGTGAATACACACACTGGCAGGCGTGGGTAGCATGGAAACCACCAAGTAGACCCAGAGTAATAAAACATTTCCTTTGCCTTGCAACATAAATACTAAAATGGTAGTCATCATCACACCTGTAAGAAAGCCAGCCTTGCAGTCGCTTAGGCTTAAGTTTCAATGAACACCTGTGAGACTTTTAGAAACTCTAATGATATATGGTTAAGTGAACCCTGAAGATTGTCCTGTAGCCACTGTCAACCCAGACTGATTTGCAGCGAGCCTGCATCAGCCCATTTTCCCAACCTTCTTTTTTACTTATTTCCATTGTGCTTTGTTGGCAGCATCACATGGATATAGTGAATCTCAGCGAACAGATGACTACTACTGTCATCTTCCCATCCTTCAAACAGTCACCAGATGGAGGTTAGCAGGAAAATTCCTTCCCAGTTGAGATCTGCAGAGTTTTTTTTCCCCACCCTGGAACGTTGTGTGTGGTCTGCTTATTAGGATGATCTGGGAATGTTAATTTGATGTTATTTAATGCCCTGTTGTTGTAAGGGCATTGGAGATACTCACTGCTTCCCTGTGGCACACTGGAATTGTGGCTTTTAGGCTTTTTAATGTCTTAAGTATTTGGCAGGTCTTGGGAAGTGTTCCACAGCCTGCACTACTGTGTTGGACAACGAGATGGATGTTTGGTGGACCTCTGTAGGTTATACGTCTGTGGTATCCACTGCGTATTGGGAAAGATAGAGGCTAGATTCAGTTACTGAAGGTCACTGGGTCTATTTGGTGTTCTGATTTGATCTACAACTTTTGTAAAAGGGCCTGGCTTAAAGTTTTGTTTCCACTATCTACTTTCCCTTAAATAGCACAATATGGGCCTGGTACTTCTTACGTATTTATATGATAAGAGTTCAGTAGGAAAGCTTTCACTGATTCAGGGTCAGGTTCTTGTCCTCGGGAAAAATATCACATTATGTATCTATACCATTCAACGTCATAGGCTGTACATTTCTTTCACAAACACTTGTTTAAATCACTGTAACTCCATTATGTCCAACGAAGCTATTTTTAATGTACAAGAATTGGGCCCTCTGTTTCTAATGTAATTCCAAGCTTTTTGTCATTCAAGATTTTCTATAAACACTCTTCAAGCAAATTTTACTTCCTGAATTCAATACATATCTCAGTTCTATGCCTGTTCATATAAACATTTCATACATCTGATTAACATCAGAATTGACAGCTTTTCAAATGGCACTCACTGTGCTATAATTCTGCTCAGCCTTGCACGGTATTTTTGGCGTGTCAGTTTTCAACTTCATTAATGAATGTTGCTAGCTAATTGACTCTATTATTATTGTGGAACTCTGTTTGCCAAAGGTAACTATTCTTCTTCAGCATGCCAAATGTTCAAAGTGCCATCTGTAATTTATAGTTAATAAACACTGAGACAACAGATGACAAATGTCTTCCTGGTAATTTTTTTTCCTGTTACAGTTTTTCCATTGGATTTTTTTTATATTTTACTTCTGAGTTCAACTCCATTTTGTCATTTACAATATCGCTGAGGTTTAACCTAATGCTAGGGAACAATTGCCAAAGGTAGTCATCAAAGTAGCACTGATTCACAGATGTACAAAGCCAGACTCCCAGCAGGTTGCCCAGATTCAGGACTCGATTTGTGTATCTTTTGCCGTCAATAGCAGCAGAGATCAGATGCTGCCAAAATGTGTCTGTGGTCTCAGTTGACAGTGGAGTTACTCTGGGTCTACATGGGTCTACATACAAATAAGATACAGCCCTTCATTTAAAAAAAAATAAATAAATAAATAAACAGAAGAACAGGAGTGCCAAAAATGAGCTCTGCGAGCTACTGTCTTGAATTCTTTGTTCAGCTAGCTGAAGGCTGAACACGGATATTGTAATCACATTAAAGAGAAGGGCTGTGAATGAACAACACAATAAGTGTTGTGGGAGGAAATGGGTTACCCTAGTCATTCTTTAATTAGGTGAACGCACATGGAAAATATACAGCAGGGAATAAGCCTCATTGCATTTTCCATCTGCCCACTGGGAGGTGAGAGAAACAAAAATGGCAGGATAAAGCCAGTTCTGATAAATTTTGCATTACATTAGTGCTCACCTCAGGCTTTTCATTGTGGAATATGTAAAAGGTTTATTAGCATCACTGATAAATACAATCTCATCAATTTAATGGCAAATATCCAATAAATTATTATACTGCTCAAAACTATAAAGGAAGACTATCGTGGAAATAAGTAAAGTGCATTTATATAGCCCTGTAAAGACATTCAGCACTTCTGAAAATATTTGGTAATACAGATAAGCCTATTTTAATGATGCAAAACATTTCACCCTGATGGCACATTGATATATCCATACTATACAAAGCTTTTCTAATGTTCATTAAATTGTCAAAAATATTCTTACCAAAAGAGAATCTGTTACAATCACTTATCCTCAAAGACCATAGTATCTTCTGCCTTTATATCTTTTCTGTTTACTTTTTGTCTTCACATCATAAAATACCTCTTTCTGAAATGACATATGCAAACAAATAAATGGACCTATAGTAGTTTTATTCAGTACTCTAGATACCCTTAATAGACAGTCTTCCTTTACCTTTAGCACTGGAAATGCACCCTTTATTGGTATTGAATGAATTATCACCATATGTAGACCTGAATCCAGTGTGTATGTGTTGTCTTGTTTCTGCAGACTGTTATTGTAATCCTTTTGGTTCAGTCCATGATCGCTGTAATGACAGAGGATTTTGTGAGTGTAAGGAGGGAACATCAGGGCCTAAATGTGATAAATGTCTGCCGGGATATATTTGGCACAGCTTGGGCTGTCAACGTAAGTAACTCCGAGAGTCGCCCCTCTCCTGCAACTTTGCTGCCTTTGTGTCTGTATGCTCTCACGTGCAGCTGCTTATGAGCAGAAAATGAGCAAAACACTCTACAAGCTGTAAGAATGCCATACAGCCTGAACCTTTTCAGAGACTCCCAGGTGAGGACAGTAAATTGACTGTGCCATCCATTTATTTCAATCTACTTTTTTCAATGTCCTCTCTCTTTCTCATGCTAATGCCTGGAGAAGCTCCCACTGAAATATGTAAATATGCGCATCTTGCCAACTGTGAAATAAGTTTTGTGTACTAAAACATCAACATATTAACTCCAAATTTAAAATTCTTACTAAAAGACAAAAGGTGATTTCTCTGCATGTTCACTTTTTTCTGTACTAAACTTCAACTTCTAGGTAACAACTATGCTTTCATACCTTAAAACTATGTCCCTGGACAATAAAACTGCAGAACACTGGCTCATTACCTGTTATAAGTAGTGAAAACTAGACAAAAGTTAAAGGTAAAAGAAACCCTGAGGCATACTTAACATCCTTAAAAATAAGAGCTGAAATTTTGCATAAATATTGCTAGAGCAGATATTTCAATGCTTAGTTGTGTATTTAGTTTCTCTTCTGGTTAACAGGTCTTGTAAACAAGTGAGTGGAAATACCACATCAGTATATACAGGATTAGACTTTTATTGCAAATTTCTTTTGTAGTAAATTCTTAAGATTTATTCTTTATAACTGTTTGGATCATCTACTTCCAGAAACTCTGGAGTCCTCTCATGTTTTTCTTTCACCTTTTCTCCCTGCCTCTCTGCATTCTTACACACACACTTTAAAGACAGATTTCTACAAGAGCTTGCTTTTTATTTTTAAGACTGAGAAACACAAGAGAGAATGTAATTACTGACACCAATCAGCAAAATATTATAAAATTTACCATATAGCCACACAAATGCTCTGAATGCTCTAAAACACATGCAAATCTTATATCATACATTAAAAAAAAAAAAAACACAACATAATAAAGCTAGAGATTACCGCTGCCTCTCCAAGTGATGAGTACCTCTGAAGCAGAAAATCTGGGCTTGTGACAATTCAGCAAATATGTCTGGAAAGAAAACCAATAAAGAAAGAATTTCAGGAAAGATTGCGATAATTAACCAATTATCATTAAAGATAGTATATGAAGAGAAAGGAAGTTTGCATGGGCAACGCAGTTAAATGTTACCCGAGAAAATTGGACTTCCTCAGCTTCTGCCAGAAAGCTCCTGCTTATATTTGGCAGATTATTTAAACCATACTTTTCACATGTGATCGTTAACTGTATTCTCATTTTCTGGATGCTTGCCCTTGAGTTTTGATTCACAAAATTATTGAGCACTTACAGTTACAGCAGAAAGCAGGCAAAGTAGTGTTTCAAATCTCAGAGTTCTCTAATATTAACATTTTGAAAAAATCACATTCTAGGTATCTCTAAAAAAGAAAAAAAAATGGTACTGGGAAATCATAGGATTTCCCTCTGTCTTGCACCCCTTCTGTAGAAAGATGTTGTTACCACCCCCGTACCTTACTCTAGGTACTGGCAAAATAAGCATTAGAATTTGTGAAGCATTAAGATATTGTAGTGACAGGAACCACAGGAAGAAAAGTGAAAAAGGAAATGAATATCATTCTCTGCAGTAGAATTTGTAACAGTACAGTACAGTAAACACCATGTCCACACAGTGGGTCTAAAAAAAGATATTAAGTAGCTGAGATATTGAACAGGTCTCAGGTCTGCGGAGCAAATTTTACAGTCATACAATTAATATAGTAACATATATACCAGCTTGTCAAACGAATTGCTTATTAATTGCAGTATTTCCTATCTTTTCAGGTTTGCACATTATAACCCCAATAATGTTCTTTTAATGAGGATTTTTTGAGCCCAGCATATAATTAGGCTGGTTTTAGCTGAATCAAGAGTATTTGTAAAAGCTTTAGACAGTTTCTGGAAATGGAAGCTACTGCCTTTATATTTGCTGACAAAACTAATTAAGTTTCCCTCACTGGGTTGTAATTTTCTGAACAAATCTCAGTCTGATTGTGTAACTGTTAGATGTTCTCCGAGTTTGACCAAATTATCTGATCAAATTCAGAGAAAAACAACTAGATGCAGTTGTCAGTTTTATGGAACAGACATCAAATCGCTATGTTTTACCAAGCACACACTGATTTAAAACTCATTTCAAGTCTTTTCATGGAGGAACAGAATTCCAATTCATTTAATTTTGTAGTGTGGCAATTTTAGCTTTGTACGTTATTTTCCCATTGAAATCTAAAACAAATGACTGGGCAAGCAAGCAGACTCCAATATACAAGAAAAATAAGAACTCATTCTGCTGCCTTAGCAAAGTTCAAAAAGATTATTTGTCTGGACATGTAGCATGTGGTTTTGATCTGTTTCCCTGAGCTTATGCTGTACAGAAATGTATATATGCAAAGATGGATAAGCACACACACACTCGACAAACCAATATGTGTGTGTTTACTTTTTGTTGTACATAGCCTATTGGCATTATTAAGAAAATCTATTCTTATGGAGCTTTGTTGCTAAAAATCATTGACCTAGGGCAACCAGAAGCTTGACCTATAAATAAATAAGTTAAGTCTATACCTTAGCTAGTTTAATTACTTGTATGATTGTATTAGTAAATGGAGTGGCTTAGTTTTATATTTTAGTAATCCTATTTGGGAAAAAAACAATGCTGAAGTCCTGCTGTGTTTTCTAAGGCTCACAATATATCATTTGATAAATTACTGTTTGGAGTCTACCTTGTACCACACATGGGCAAAAGACACAGAAGCTGTTGTCCTCAGAAGTATTCATTTAGGTACCTCACTCTTACTGATTTCATCTAAAACCTCTGAGGATCTAGGCAGAGCGCTTATCACTTGGCGTCTCTGTGCTTACAGAGGTCAGATGCAATTTTAGACTTTGCCTCCCAGATAAAAAGCACCGTGATAACAGCTGCTATCTTACTGAATTCAGGGTTTATGCTGCATAGACGTAGCGGTCAGCAGGGTCTGGTTGGTACAGGAAGGTTTGCTGCCCTCAGAAAAAGAGGTACAATAGATGCGACTGTGCCTTGTGCTACTTCTAAGCCCTCCCCCAGAACCATTCATGCCGCAGGCGTGCGTGCGGGGAAGCTGCTGGGGTTTAGCTCTCCACCTCCCTCCCAGATCCCGACAATGGTTTTCTCACCAGCACGCATACATAGATCAAAGCGCAAGGAATGAATTAAGAACAGAACAGTCTGGTCCTGAAACCCTTTTAGAATTCCAGAAACATCAGAAAATAATATAGCTATATTTCATTTTTCTATTATATAGAAATTAAATTATTTCCTTTAAAAATTAACACAAAAACAGAAAAAAAAAGCACCAAGCCTGGCAAGAAATTTAACCAGCAACTACAGCTGGTTTGGGGCAGTCTTAAACTGAACATAGTGCTTTGTGATAAGAGGAACCTGTAACGAAAGGTAGAAACATTTACAGAAGAACTGCCCAAGTTTTTAAAAAATGGATGAAGACAAAGTACTAAGCATAAGCATTCATTTGATTTTCTGTGTACTGCTCATAGTCTTGCATCTTTTGTATTCCTTGGCCATGACGTTTCAGGTAACTAAATTCTGTTGCATACATACAGGAGCATTTAAAAATAACACCCTTTAATTTCATGCACACAGGAATTGATTCCAAAACCAGCTGCGTATATATCCAATCAGGCAAAGAAAAACTGACTCTTTTGCCAATCTCAGTTTACCAGCACAGCTCAAATTTTCATTAGGCATGATCCCCCCACAGGGGAAAAGGTGAGGGAAGGTCCAGTGATTAATATAATTCACTACCTCCCTTCATATAGTCAATGAGCAAGTAAAGGCGTTGGACCTGGAGCCCCACAAAGGCCTAGACTGAGTACAAGAATTACCAGTGGTAGCTTGCACCCAAGCTAAATTCAGTGCGTTATTTATTGTGAATCACTGTTTTAAATCATCTTGGTTCAATGGTGTAAATCTTAAACAATTAGCAAATGAGTTTTCAGCCAGATGCCTTACGTCAAGCTCTGAATAGTTTATTTTCTTTTATCCTTTTTCATTCATTCAAAATAGTTTTTATTAAAGCAGGCAAAGGATTACACTCTTATCTTCAGTGCTCAAGCTGCGCTCAGTGCTTGTATCTGACTTCCAGACTGAACTTGTATTACTCTGCAGCTTGTTAGATAATTCATATTCTGTCACAGTGTGCATTCAACTTAGTATATGATTATTTAAATATAAGCTTTTTTGTGTGCATTTTATCATGTGTTACTAATGTTAGAAGCCGAGGCATTTGATCAAAATCATCATGCAGATTGAATTGCCAAAGAAAATCAAACCTGAAATTGTAACCTTGGAACTTATATTAACATTTGCTTTTGGAAGTTTGTGTTTACAATTCAGCAAGAAAAGATATGTTACCACCCCTTTCTTCAAAAAGAACGAAAAAAATTCTCTCTTGAAAAAATACATCATGCACTTCTTTCTAGACAGATTAAATAAATGTAATTGTGTCCTCCATTGAAGGTCAGTGATCTTTTATACATGTTTGTACACAGATGTATCCTGTAAGTTCTTCAATACCTACACATTGAACTTGTTCCTGGGGAACTATACTCTGTAAAAAGAAATGGAAATTCAGAACCAGGATGCCCTGCCTTCCAGTTCACCTTTGCAACTGCCCATGTGGGGAGCCATAGACAATCCATTTATATCTTTTTATATCTTTTTACCAGTAGCAGTTTTAATGCTTTTAGCTGGTCAAGCTACAGTGGGATTTCCCCTCTGCACAGGTGCTGTATGTTCTGGTGTGTTTTGGTGCCAGGACCGGAGCTAGTAAATGCAGTGCCATGCCTGGAGCTGGGGGCAAGTAAAACATAGAAAAAAATTATTGAAAAGGATAAAGTTCTGATGGGGCTGAAC